TTGGCAGCATCATGTTTCCTTGTTTTACATTTCTTGTGGCTTTGCATTGATATTTGCTCATTTGAGAGAAGAATCACCTCTTTCAACCTTTCAGACTGACTTTGATGAGGAAAGATTTTAACAGAAAGTGACTGTGAGGGTTCTGACTGAGTAGGGTGCTGTGACTCTTATTCTAGAGAGAACACACCTACATCAGGTGAGGTCAACATTGCCAAAGACTGTGGGGTTCTTTTTGACCGTGACTGCAGAGGTTTTGTAAGTAGCAGGGTCTGTTGGGGTTCTAGGTGAAAGACTACTGGAGTCTTTCTGTTCTCCTTTCTTCCTGTGGGAGGGAGTTTTATCTGAGGGGAATGCCTCTTGGTACCAGGCCTGGTGAACTGGCACCCAGTACAGCAGTGAAGCCAGGGTCCTGGGGCACAGGTCCACTTGTCATGACAGCAGTCCAAATGTCTGATATGCATGCATGTATAGGTCTCCCAAGGAACCAGGGTCTGAGTCTCTGAGGATCGCCATAGTGATTTGGACCCCAGGATGGGGGCATACAGCAGTGGCTTAGGCCCAGGACAAAGGGTACAACAGCATACCCTGTGGATGATGGGCCAAAGCCCTGACAGAGCAGCAGCAGCTTGGCCTCCATGATGCCAGGCCAAAGCTGTGACTCCAGACACAAGGGGTATGACACAGCTGTAGCATGACATCCTGTTAATGGCAAGTGAGTGCCATAACTTTGGATCCAGAGTGTGGGACAGAGAGTAGCAACACCATCATCACAAGGTAGTGATGACAGGTCAGATCCACAGCCTAGGACCCCAGGGATCAGCCACAGAATAGCAGCAACTCAGCCCCAGTGAAGATTGATCAAAGCTATGACTTAGAACCCTGAAGGCAGGGCACAAAGCACCAGCTCTTCCATTTTCAGATGGCAAGGTGCTATGATGGCCCAATATCAGAGAGTGGGGCACAGCATCAGCTGAGACCCCGGGGGACAGGTCTCACCACAGCAGTGGCTCCAGCTCCTGCTGAGGAGACATAGCAGTGGGACTTGAGGCAGCTCCTTTAGCTGGGTTAAGCGTTGGTACAGACTATGGGAGTGCTCGGTAGCAAAGCCTACAACTGTCCATGGCAGTAATGAGCATTACTAGAGTTCTCCTGCTCTCCTTTTCCCATCAGGTATAATCCCTCCGAAGGGGTTCCTCTTTGCACTGAGCTTCTCTGAACTGGGAGATGGAGTGATGTCAGTAAAATGCTTCTTATACTTTTCTGTACAGCTATGCTCAGTATTTGAGCCCTGCAGGGGTTTTGCTGCTTCTTTGTTGTAGTCTAGAGTTTTCCCAGAGCTGCTTTGTCTGTTTATAGTTGTTTATTCATTGTTTTTATAGAAAGACAAGCTTTGGGACCTCCTAGCCAGCCATCTTACTGATGTCAGCCCCTACAGTGAAATTTTTTTTTATTTCGTTTGAAGTTTAAGAAAGTGGAAAAAAATCAGGAAAGCTAGTAGTGGAGAGTAAGGTAGAAATCCAAACCGGTGGAAGGGGTAGTTTTATCTATACTTCAAGCCTTATGAATTAAGTAATGGTACAAAGAACAGATATACAGTTATATTCGACTAGGAGCTACATGTTATGTTTTGCAGCATATTTATCTTTGATTTAAACAAATACTAGCCTTTTGCCTTTTAATATTAATTTATATTTATATTCCTTAAAGCATACAATCTCTGGGATGCCTGAGTGGCTCAGCAGTTGAGCTTCCGCCTTCAGCTCAGGGTATGATTCCGAGGTCCAGGGATCAAGTACCACATCAGGCTCCCTTCGAGGAGCCTGCTTCTCCCTCTGCCTGTGTCTCTGCCTCTCTTTCTGTGTTTCTCGTGAATAAATAAAAATCTTGAAAAACATTTTAAAAAAAATAACTAATAAAATGTACAAATTCTGATGGCCCATAAAAAAGAAGAAATAAACCAGTTTAGGTTTTTAATTTTTTCTCTAACTTGTCTATATGCAGATAAGAAAAAAATCATATTTCAAAGGTGAAAACTTATAAATTAATTTCTACTCATCAGTTCCTAGTGCCGTAGACAGAATATATGTCAGTTCATCCAGTTAAATTGAGATTCTGGTAGTAGGCCATAATATGGAGCTGAATGAATATATGAATGTCAAAAATTGGGAGCTGGCTTGCTCCTCAATTTAAGTAAAACAAAAAGCCTATGAACTACAATTGGTCTTTTTAAAAAAAAAAAAAAACTATCTTTCCTGGTAACTAGAGGTGCTAGTATGTGTAAGGGTTTCAGCAGATTCATATAGGAGCAACTAGTAGTTGAGAACAGAGCCTTATTAAATTAAGTTTAATTTGGTATATAGCATGTAGAAGCTGGTTTGTCAGGTTGAAGTCTGCTGTGTTATTGATTAATTTATACTTTTTCATAGGAGGGAGGTGGTCCCAGCTGTTTCCAATCAAGGCCTTCGTTTTACTAAGTAGGAATATCTATAAAGATCTAGAAGCAGGGAATCATTCATAGGATCTAACAGTAGAGTAAGTAGGAAACAAAGGGTTTCAGGAGAATGTGGCCTCTAGAAGGCCCTCACACCAAACAGTGTTTAAATTTAGTTTTAGCATTCACAACACAAACAGAAATTCACAGTTGACACAAAGATGAGTTGTCCTCATCCATCTTCCTTTAAAGTTGCTTACTCTGCAAAGAATGCCAAATTTGGGATGTTCCCATAATCACCCTCCACAGACAATATACATCCTTTGTACATCAAAAGGAAAAAGCTATGACTCAGGACGGAGGACCCTAGGGGATTGGTTTGGCAAAATGGCTCATCACTAATCATACATGCTTGTTTGTCCCTTCTCTATTTTAGAACTGGAGTATGAAGAACTTCTTCCAGAAATCTGGGGCAGCTCTAAACTCTTGGCTTTCTCATCAAACTTGGCTACTCGAAGTCTCTGTTACTAAATGTCTCTAGTTTTTTAGTCATTCTCAAACAATAGTGATAGATTGTGATAGTGAATTGATCTTTGAAAAGTAACCTTTTCAATACTAGGAAGAACTATTTCATATTTCTCACCCTGGACAAATGAAACTTGGTAATTTCTCAGGTGTGCTCAGCCAAGTCTCAGTCTTCTCCTGAGCCAAAATTTCTTTTTCAAACAAGACTCACTTCAACCGTTTACCTTTACGAGGAATCCAGCTTTACTCCCAGGTCCATTTATCTCCATGTAAACCATCCCCATGCTTTAAATATTATGTTATGTTAAAGGTTGTCGCTGTGGTTGTAAAATTTCAAACATCAAGGTCAAGAACCTGAAAAGTATTACTTTGGCATAAGCCTCTTTAAGGCAACTGTGGTAGTAGGGGCTGTTTCAAGGCCTGAGGCTCCCCTGCCTGTGGTTGTGGGAAGACACTCTATCCATTCCTGCAAGTTATTTGTGGCTCTCTGAGGAACTCATTTAACAGTTTTCCAGTACACGCTCTTAGGAGGTAAAGCTGGATTTTTCTGGTCTTTGTGAGAATGTTTGCCTCAATCCAAGTGTCCAGTGGCACAAAAAGTCTGATGGTAAGGGGTGAGCTCCTAGAGAGGGCTCTGAGGAATGAAAGGTGGAATGTGCCACTGTTCTCTCATCCTTGACATGCTGATTTGGAGTGAGCTGCTGAGCTATATAACCAATCTATGAAATTTCAGCCCACATCCCAAAGTCTGACAATCGTAGTAAATCCTGAGTAAGCTCAGAATATTTGGAGGAAAGGTTCTGAAATTAATTGAATTTTATGATTAATACAAAGTTGTGCCGAAAACCATTTTGTTTCACCTCATGTTGGTAGAAGTCTTTCTTTTGGTTTCACTTTTCTCTTCTTGGGTGTAATTATACATGTAATCTAACCATTTTTAGATTTAAACTCTTCAGCCCCTCCATAGCATTATCTTGCTCATAAAGACTTATTCTGTATTTTCCATAACATGGCTGTTGAAAATAAATGTATTAGACCAGAAATATATAAATTCTAGCATCAAATTTATTAGCCTAAGGGGGGAAAAATCCTTGATATGAGCTTTTGTCATTTTTCTGTTTTTCTGAAAACAAATTATAGAAAAAAAATCTATCTAATTGAGGGTTATGAATCCTCTGAGTATGACTAGTCCTAGTTCAAATAATGCAAAATGTGGTGAAAAGGGTAATTTTCTTCCTAAGTCCTGTATTTTAGTTCTACTTCACTCTAGGTTTCATTATGATACTCAAAACAAGTCACAAGAGCCTCTGTGTAGTCCAACTCTTCAGTTCTGAGCTCTAGAATATATCTTGCAGAAAGAAAAAATCATGCAGTTTTGCTTGATTTACTGTAATATATTATATGATTGCCATTAGTATCTGTTTTCCCACTTTCTTTTATGGAATATTTTATTCCACTATGAATATTCAGACTTACATCTATATGCACATGTGTATGTATTGAAAATTATGTAAGATTCGAGTTTTCTGTAACGTCAGTAGTGTATAGAACTCCTTAGAGATCACCATATTTTCACGGGAAGGAAAGGCCTCTGTTGGTGTCTGTTTCCAAGCTTTTCACGGAGACTATAAATTAGGCCTGGGAAGGCTCTAACGAGTCAGTAATTTATAGACTATTAAGATAGTTAATTAGAAGTGATTCTTGAGCATATCCAATAGAGAACACATGTTTATAAAGGACAAACAGATTCCACACAACATGTCTTTGACCTAAGCAAACCCAATCAATTAACAAAATGGGATATCTTATTTTGCATATCTCCCACTCCCCCAAAATAGAATTACTAACCACTTGTTAACCACACTGACTTTCTAATAGAGTGGTGGCTATATCCCAGCCACTAGAAATGTCCTGACCGAACACCCTAGTAGACTGTAGGCAGCCAAGTCTACAAAACAGGAAGAAAGCTCTGCTTGCTTTTTTGCCTCCTTTCCTGGTTTGACTTGATGTGATAATTCATTGCAGATTTCTTTTTCTTTGACAGAGTGCCTACCGCAGGAATGGGATGGCTTTTCTGGCCTGCTGATGGGACTGTGACTGTAACAACAGGAAAGGCAATGTTATATTAAGGTGATTTCTGTTCCCCTCTTTGGACAAAATAAAATACAAGTTTACCTTCTCTGCATCCTCAGGAGTGGGTTGGTTTGTTGTGACTATCAACTGGCTGACTCCAGCTCCTTTCCAGCCCCCTGAATGCTTGCTCTTGTTTACTGACTGGGCCGTTTTAGCTAATTAATGGCAGGATGTTTGGGGTAGTGTGTAGGTGGACAAGAATGCAGATCACACAATTTTGAAATTTTAATTTGGAATGAATTTACTGCCCTCAGCTCACATATCTTAACAGCAGTGTCTTTCCCTCCCTACCTCCCCACCCCTCCCCCCAGTGTTTAGTCTATGTTTTATTTGATGCATTTTGTAATTCAGGTTTGGGACAAAGGAAATAAAATGAAAAGGACAGTCAGTTTTCCCCTTGCAGTATCCCACCAACTTCAACATCTGCTGATTACATATATCCTATGTGAATCTTAGAGACAAATATTCCTTTTATAAACTCACACTAATCAAGTACCTAATTGATGTGATAAACTATCTATTCCCATCCTCTCATCCCTTACCCCCGCTTAGAGCGTGTGTTACTTCTTCATCCCGTCTTTCTGAACTTCCTACAAATCTGCCTTCCTGCGTGTTTTTGCTCACGTAGGCCCTCTTCCCCTGTCCTCATGGTCCCCGTCCCTCCAGTCTCCAGGCCCATCACACACAAACACACACACACACACACATACACACACACACACACACACCGCCATTTAGAGGCAAAATCATCACAATCACTTGAAGGAGAGCTCAGTGAGTGATTTGCTTTCCCCCTTCCCAGCACTCCCACAGCTACATTAGAGTCGTGGACTGGCTAATTTCTTGCTGGTAGCAGCTGAGCTACTCTTCTGGCGCCTCTACTTTCTTCTCTCTTAAATGAGGAACTCTAACTTTTGAGAACAAATCAAAATATAGCAGATATAATTGTATAGTTCCTGATTCAACTTGAATTACAAAAAAAGGAAGTCATTTCTTTAATTCTGTAGGACTTCTGTGTAGTCTTACTTTTATTCTGGTTTTTACACACACCGAAACAGCCTTCTGTAAAGAATCAATAAAAACAGAAAGAAGTAGCATGAAAGCTTTTCCTCCTGCAACCACATCATCGTGAGGCTCAGTTAATACGGTCGTGCCACATCATTCACATTTGTTAACTATCATTTACCTGTTCCGTGTTGGTCCTTCTGGAAAACATCTTCATGTCAAGAACAAAAAACGCAGATATATAATATCAAAAAAATTGCCAAGGGGTTTTGATGTTCCATCTGTGCTTGTTGAAATGTATGATCAAACTTTTCTTTTTACCATCATTCTTATTTTTCTTGGCATCCCTAATCATGGAAGATTATAAGCTTGCAGTAAACATCCTAACTTTTAAAACGACAGCATTTATTGTATTTGGTTTCGATCTGCCAGGCTTATAGATGTATGAAATTTTCAGGGACTAATTTTTCACATCAAAATTCCTTCTCTCCCACATTAGACATTTTAAAGTGCGCACAAGGCAAAAAATACAGGGTTCAGGTCTTTCCCTTCATTTTATTTTACCTGATCTCCTTATAGCCCCAGAGAAGGAAGACTCAACGTACATTTCTCTCAGAAATATGACAGGTCTGTGTTTTTGTTGGTCTGGCGTATGTTTGTCTATCTTGAACAGTCTGACAGGTAATTATTTATAAAATCTGGTTTTGCCCAGTAAGTCCATATAATAACCTTTCACTTTTCATCATAAGCCAGTGAGCTGAATTTAGAATAGAACAAGGTCATTTATGTCTGTCCCAACCCAGCCTAGATGTCCCCATAATTGCTCAATATTAATATTTTTAATTCTTTTTTTTCCTTTTCTACACTTAGACTCTTTCTCTGACTCTTTGAACAACACTGAATTTGAAGTGAAATAAAATTTTCTTAAGCAGCGGGTATAGAAAAGATTTTATAGAAGGAAGATCTCAAAAGATGTGATTTCAATAAACTTTTCTCTCAAGATTAAAATGTCAGGTAAAATCATAAAATGTTAGAACAAAAGATGGTCTTGAAGATGATTGCAAACAACCATTCTTTTTCGCAATGAAAGTATGTAGCCTGGAGAGGGAAGTTAACTTTCCCAGGGTCACTCAGTAATGGCAGTGACAGACCAGAGACCAGATTCATGGCCCCTGTTTCTCAGGCTACTGTTTCACTCCACCAAACTGGATTTGCATAAGATACTACCAAGACACATTGGGATTTTATGGCATGTTTATCCTAGACAATGACCTACATTTATTTTGTTAAATGATACTAATTTGGACACATGCTAAAGCATAAGTGTGACATTAAAATCTTCTTCAAAGGGACCGTGGTATAATTAAATAATCTGTATTCTATGTCAGTTATACATTAATTTTTGGAAAAAGAGGTCTGCAAGCAGGGGAGGGGGAATTAACATACTCAGACCACTGACTTTGTGTCAGGGACCTTACCTCTGGGATTTCATTTATCTTCACAATGGCTTCATGAGGTAGAGTCTATCAAAAACAAAAACAACCACATCAGGCTCATTTCTAAATCAAATGTGAATATACAAAATAATTTGTATTTTTGAAGCCTTATATTTTGGGGATCAAATCTGAAAAAATAAATAAATAAAACCAACAAATAAGTAAAAATAGCGTCTCTTATGGGAAATTGACACTGCCTCATAGATTTGAGAGTAAAGGAAATAGAAATATTTCTCCCTTCGCCTAAATTTGGAATGTGACTTTCCGAACATGCCGTTTTGGGGCTATGTCATTAACCTTCCTGCCTTCACATATTGCAATAGTTAAGATTCAAAAATAATGTTCCAATTTTAGAACCAAGAGTTTTTATTCAAAACCCATCAGAAGCACAAATATTTTCTAAATGGTGTATATAATTCCTGTACCTGGGGAAAATTCTTCATTTATTACTGTTTGTTCTTTGTTTCTATAAAATAATAAACAATCCACATGTAATGCTTTTACCACGTAGAAGACAAATAAACATAAGTGGCAATTCCTGGTGTGAAAGAAAACAAGTTTACTTGTTTAGAAATTGTAAGGTTTAGTTCTATGAAAAAAATTTATATAGTTCCCAAATCAGGTATTTCTTTCCAGTTCATATAACCCCTTGTGTAAAACTGAATCACTACAGAGAAAGTATTCCCTCATCTACCCTCCTGGAATTTAGATAGAACCTTCCCAGGTTACATTTAAAATTCTACCTTCAACCATGTATACATCTCATAAAATATTTTACGGTTTCCTGTATGCTCTGGCTGTAACATTTCATAGTACATAAACACTTCTGCAAATAATAGGAGGGCATCAAGTTGAATATGTCACAGCAGTGGCTCCCACATAAAGCTGATTCTCCAGCAATGTATTTTTCTTATTTCTATCTTCTTATTTGAAATCCAAGATGAAATTTTCTGTGCTCTTAAAGCAAAGGGAGGGGAGGATGGAAGTAGGTAGGGGACTCTAGCAGTTTTTGTGGAGTTGTGTTCATTAAAGCAGAGGCTTTCTGCAGAGGGCATCAAGCCAAACTTAACCAACAAAACCATGCCTGCAGGAATTGGATATGAATGTGATAGTCAAATAAGGGCCAGATGCCTTTAAAAATTCAAGTATTAAAAAAGTCATATCTCTTAAAGTAAGTCTCTAATGTTGGGAGTGATACTGCAGCACTTTAAAAAAGCAAACACAAGGAAAGAGACATGCATTTGTTTTCTGGAACAAAATATCAAATAGTCAAGCCGTCATAAGTCATGGGAGTTTTGGCAATTGAAGCATATTTTAAAACAATCAATTCCTAGAGAGTCACAAAAAAACCTACACACAATATTTCATTGTTGGAAACCACTATAATTCTATAGAGCATTATATTCACATTCCTTCTGCTCATCACCACCCAATACTCACTATTAACATTTTTAAAGGAAAAAAATAGAAAAAAAATTAAGAAAAAATCAAGAATCAGAATGATTACTTACTGAATTTTACTTAAACCAGTTAACACTTGGCTTGCTCTCAAAAATGATACTATATGGGGCAGCCCCAGTGGTGCAGCAGTTTAGCGCCGCCTGCAGCCCGGGGTGTGATCCTGGAGACCCGGGATCGAGTCCCATGTCGGGCTCCTTGCATGGAGCCTGCTTCTCCTTCTGCCTGTGTGTCTGCCTCTCTGTGTCTCTCATGAATAAATAAATAAAATCTTTAAAAAAAAACTTTAAAAAATGATACTATATTATATCAGCATTTTAATTTTTTTTAAGATTTTATTTATTTATTCATGAAAGACGCAGAGAGAGAAAGACAGAGATGTAGGCAGAGGCAGAAGCAGGCTCCAGGCAGGGAGCCTGATGCAGGACTCGATCCTGAGACCACAGGATCATGCCCTGAGCCAGGGGCAGGTGCTCAACCACTGAGCCACCTTGGTGTCCCTAAGAGTAAGTTTGACACAACAATTACAACACACTACGTGGTACCAAGCACTTTGTGAGAGTTGTCCCATTAGGTACTCATAGCCCCTCTGTGAGATGCATATAGTTATTCTCCTAGTCGCCCACAAGAGGTAGAGAGGAAGCTGATGGAGCTGGTATTTGTGCCCAGTGCTTTGACCCCAACACCTATGATCTTCACCATGTTACACAGCATGTAGTGTGCTTGGGTATGGATTTCTAATAATGTATTAGAATTGCTGCTCTGAACCCAGAAGCACTTCTCAGTACCAAAAAGCTGGATTATAAGAAAATTTCATTTTAATTTAACATTCCTTCTCTAAGGCCAAGTATTAGTTATATAAGAGAATATCATATATTGTATAATAGACTGTAATTACATTGAAAGATGCCAAGTCCTCTATAATGCCTTAAGCCTTTAAGTTAAATGCATACAATCAATGCACATACCCAGGATCCCTATACAAATTATGAGAACTTCCTCAAAGATCCAAGATCCAGGTTTATAATGCCTCTCCTTGTTGAAGACTGCATTTCTCCAGAAGGCTCTACTTACCATGACTGCTGTTTTGTGC